TTACCACACATATATAAGCTTGCTTGTTTTCTTTCTATCGGCTTACATTTATTTTTAGCTTCCATCTATAACAACTTTACCACATGTTTACATTTAAAGCTGAGAAAATTTATTTTCTAAAATAACTCATAATATTTTTAAAATTGAGATTTGCATAGGTTTCATGGTTCTGATTTCTTCTATTAACCATCAAAGAAGAGACCATGTGGAGCAGAGCCATGTTGGAAAATAATTTCATAACATAGACTAGTGTGTAGCATGCCGAGAAAGTGCTTATTGGCTGTGTGATATCTTTGGAAACAAAAGAAATTATTATATCAATTTGTTTTCTTTTCTGGTTATATGTAAAAAAGGAAAAGATCCACCAGAATTATTCAAAACTTGCCAGTTGCTAAAAACCCTCAGTATATGTGATGCTAATATTTGAGGATTTTTCATTAGTATGTATCTAGCATTTACCTCCTCTAGATTCATATTGCGTATCTGTTCTGCAAAAATAATGTACCTTTTGTAATTACATATGAATGTATATACACGAAATATCCTGGCATTATGTTGACTTTAAAATTTCTGAGTGTTTTGTTTTGTTGTTACTTTAAAAAAAAATTCTTAAACTCCCTCTTGATGTTATAGTCTCACCTCCCCCATCTCACATAATATATGCAAGATACATGCCAAATCATGGCACCTGGAGCTTTATTGATTGCCTATATTCACAATTGGCTCAATCAAAGGGATGTAGAGGGTGAAAAATGACAAAAGGAATGATAAGCAATCAAACAGCCAGAAACCATCATTAGCCCAATCTCTTACTGTTGACTAAAGATCTTACTTTAGTTAACGAGGATGCAGATTAATGATACACAAACAGCTCATCCTTTGTCATTTTTCCAACTATGCTTGGATGGGGGAAAAAGCCAACCTAATTATAAACACTGATGGAAATACCTAAGTATTTGGCCAATTATTCTACGCATGTTTAAAAAAATCTCAGATGTCTGGAACCTAGATGAAATGAGAACAGGGGCAAAATAGCATCTCACAAAGCACAGTAAACCACCTTAGTTTTAATGAGGACCTGAAACATCCAGACATCTCTGATCAAACCAAAATGTAATATAAGGCACAGGAAACTGGCACCTACTTTCATATTAGACTTAAAGTTTGATTTGAGTTCTCTAGGCACCTCAAGGTCTATGGAGCTGCAGTACTTTATATTTTTGTGTGTCTATGAACTTGCACAAAGTCCTGCTAAGAAAATCGTCCTAATGAACTCTTCATTGTCCTAATGCCCAAAATCTCCTCTCTGTCCAGTTAAGTTTTTTCCTCTTAGAAATATTTTCTTGGTAGATATAGTACTTGCTTCTATGAAATAATCTGAAAGTCTTAAAAATGCTTTATAGTCATTTAAAAACTATTCTGGAAAATTATTTATGCAAGTGAAAAAGCAAAATACACACACACACGAATACATAGTCTTTTGCATAAATTCCTCAAATAATAAGGGGAAAATTAAAGGAAGAAACTTTTTTTTTTTTTTTTTTTTTTTTTTTTTTAGCTTGCCAGTGTCTTATCTCTACTCAAAGAGGTGAGATGAGAGATCAGAGACCTCCCCAGTCTGGGCTTCAGTTGCTTGGGCCCAACAAACAGCACTTTTCTCCTGCATCCCACCCTGTTGGTACTTAATAAATTTCATATTTTTGCTATTTTAAAAATTTTGCTAAGAGGCTTCTTCCATAGAACTTATCATCCTGCCCTCTATTTTCTAGTTGGATACCACCAAGGAGAGGCAGCAAGTGGGATACCACAAAATCTGAGACAGGAAGACACTGGGGTATTTATTCTGCATGCCACCATTACACAAGGCCATGGTTCTAATATTTTGTGTTGCTCTTATTCTTCACCCAGGTCTTCAGGTGCTGTGGACCCTCCTCTCCCATGTCTGTGATGTTTGTGAGCTATGATAACATTAGTTTCCTCTTCCCTCTTCAGGTTTTCTGGTTTTCACTGTTATTAATTGCTGGATGTTACAGCTTTCTATTTTGTTTCTCTCTATTACAGCCTGTGTAATTGTGAATTCTTTGGATTTTTCCTATTTCCTGCTATGAACTGGACCATAGCTTGTGTTTAGAAGTATATTGCATCAGTCTTCTGAAAATACTTTATTCATGCCACTTATGACACTATTTAGAATTTGTTTCAATCATGTGTCTACACATTTTCTTCCCTATTAGGGTTTGATTTCCTTGATATTATGCTTCAATCATGTCATGAATGTATTTTTAGGAATATACACAATTCCTGATAAATAAATGTATGATGGATAGATGAATGAATACACAAATTTGAACTCCATTCCTTGTCAGCTAAAACTTTAGTTATGTCAAAAGTTTCTTACTCGAGACTCTTACTTGGATTAAAATAACAGGATACCATCTTTGTGTCATATAAGTGACAATAAGTCCAGAGGAAAGCAGCTTGATTCCTACATCTGTTCACATTAAAATAGAAATCTGTGCCCCAGGCATCCAGGCCAGAGCCCAGGAAAAACTCACAAAAGAAAGAAATAATACTCCACATGCTCTAAGTTGGATTTGTCCTGAGATATATTCTATGAAGCTTCAAAATAATAAACACTTATTTTCTTTTTCTCACTTTCTCAGTAACACAATTTAGAGAACATCTTCTATATTGGTTATAGATTCTTGAGAATGGGGGGGATGCCAATGTATGTAAATGATGGGTGTTGTCAAAGATTTAGAATGGTTTCAAGACAGCTCCTGCTATAAGGTGTTTCAAGGAATAAATACATGCAAGGACAGGTCAATTGAAGTGTCAACAAGTGATTCAATTTGCTTAAAGAGTGCAAATTTTATTCCAGAGTTCCACAACTATCATCAAATGTTTTAAAAATGCTGGGACTGCAGACAAATCTCACATGCTGACAGTAGCATAATAATGTTAATTCAACACTACTTCTTTCATCCAGCCAGTAGGAGCCAAAGGACTGTAGTTCCATTGAGCAGCCATTTTCACTGGTGGAAATGAGATCTTTCATAGAAGTAAGCCTGTCTTCTTTCTATCCTATGTTATAGGATTCTCCTTTTCATAGCCAGTAAGGAATTATCATCATTAATATTAAAGCAGGACTTGATTTAACCATTAAATTTACATAATTATGTAGTTACCCACATATCACATTTCTATTTCATTATTTTTAAAATCCTTGTTTTATATAGAGTAATCATTTCTCTCCCAAGAAACTATGAGCTAGAATGGAAACTCAGTTCACCTTTAGTTTTAAGAGTGAGTTGTATTGGTCTAAAACTTTAGTTCTTAACTGGGAGCAAGTTTTTCCCTTGGGGACATCTAGCAATGTATAGAGACATTTTGACTCATCCCATAAAGGAGTGGGTGATGACACTCAGTGGGTAACATGCAAGGATGAAGTTATACTTCCTGCTATGCACAGGAAAGCTCTCCATGAAAAAGAATTATTTAACCTCAAATCTCAATAGTGACAAGGATGAAAAACATTAGTCTAAATACAGTCTCATCTCTTTTGTCAGGCATGAGTTCAAGAATGAGAATATAACAAAATTCTGGCCATTGACTGATGAGAAGACATTGAGTGACATCATCAGGGAATGTTCTTCCTTAATCTTAAGCAAGCACTGCAAGAAGCAGTTGGCAGAATAAAGAGACACTATGTACTTGAATCGTTAAAGATATGCTTCAATCCATGGACCACCCAACTCTAAAACTGGTTCCATTACTTCTCAGCTTTCCTGTGAACCATGCATCCTCTGTATTGTTTGGGTTTCTGTTACTTGCATCAACAAGCATCCTAACTGAACTACCTCTACTCCATGTGATCATTCAGGAACATGCATGTTATCTCTGGGGACATGAATGTTAATGTCAAGAAAAGCAAGGACAGATATGAAGTCCAGAATTAAGAAAACATGAAGATCTAAATACTTCTTGGATTAGCAAAAAGTAAGCAATGTGTAAAGGAAGAGAAAAGATGAATAGGAGAACATAGAAAGATTAATATCAGTCATTTAGAGAAATCCTATTTTATTGAACAAAATGGCAAGAAGTGGCTCCAATACAAACTCAGGATGGAAGGAATGTTGTGTTTATCTTGAAAGAAAGATGGTCTATTTCTAGGTACTAACTTCTATTATGTTTCTATAATAAATTTTCCTGGAATCCTTGGAGAAAGTAGCATGAATGCTTATGACCAGGCCTCAGACCTCTTATTACAGGTTCCTTTTTTATGTCAGTCTTCAAAAGTGGGGGCTCCATCCCTCTAGCTCGTTACCCTCCTGTTGTTGTTGCTGTTGTTGTTTTTTCCCAACTGAAGGAACTATTTCTGTTGTCTCAATCATTTCCAACATTGCTGTATTAGAACTTGGATTTATATCCCATTCATTGCCCAATTGATTCAACCAATCCTACCTCAGCAAATTATAACAACAGTAGACACTCTCTCTATGTCAATGCCAGATGTTTCTTTAAAACGGTGTAGTTATTTTGGTCCATACAGCTTTCATAGTAAAGACATATCAAACAATGGTCTCATTCTCTTATCATCTATAGTGATATAATTTTAAGCATAACTACACTTAAGTTTCACAGCCCTGGAAAAAAGCATATTTTTGCCATAGATAACTAGAAACAGAGTACAGATGAATGCATGAATATTTGGTTGAAACAAACATTTGATAGCACTTAAAAATTTTGTAAAATAATTCATATTCATATGTAAAAATAATATTATTACTTATTGTTAGCAATTAACAGTTACTGTAAGCACCAAGCTCTACTATGATCATTCTATCATCCTGGGAATGATCATCACACATCTTGGGCTGAGTTCTTGGGCCGCAAGTTATATGAGCTTTAAGATTTGGAATGTTGTTTTCAGCTTTACATTGCTGCCTCAAAATGCCTGAGGAACACACTTAGAGGAGGAAAGACTTATTTTAGCTCACAGTTTGAGAAATTTCAGTCCATGCTTAGATGACTCCCTTACTCTGGGGATGAGGTGAGGTAGAACATCATGGCAGGTGTCTGGAGGAGGAAGAGGAAAGCTTTTCAGCTCATATGACAGCCAGGAAGCAGAGAGGGATAGGGGATGGGGCTATGGTCATAAGACCTTTCATGGAACCCCCATCACCAGCAGTGACCCACCTCCTATAGTTTCCACCAGTTCCCAATAATGCCATCAAATTATGAATCCATCAAAGTATTAATCCATTGATGACGTCAGAGTCTTCATGATCGTCAATCACTTCCCCAAAGCCCCACCTCTGAACATTGCAGCATTGATGACCAAGTCTTCAAACCAAGAGCCTTTGGAAAACATTCAATTTCCAAACATAACAGAATGGCTATTCTCAAATGCCATCTTACTAAGATTATGATGGCTCCATTAAATTGACAGCCAGATCAAGATCAATTTGTTTATTTTATATTTGTGTGTGCATTATATGTAGATATAGATATTACACACACACACACACACACACACACACACACACACAAACACGCATTCCCACATTCATATAGTCATTCTTTGGTATGGGATCCTCTCTCTGGGAATACAAAAATCAGTGGATATTCAATTCCTTATACAAAGTGGCATTGCATTTGCATATGACCCATGCACATCCTGTTGTATATTTAAATCAACTCTAGATTACTTATAACATCTAATACAATATAAATGTTATATAAACAGTTGTTATATGTTCAATCCACAGTTGTTTGAAGGAGATGGCTTCCTTCTGAAAAAACAAAGTAGAGGAAAATTTATATATATGTATATGTTATAAATTATATATAAATATGTGTATATACGTATTTTTTCTAACATCTCCCCTTGGATAATCAACTCAGTGTATATACTATGTGGCCATATCCTGTCCCATTACCCTTTCTGCTCTAGTCCAACATTGCCTCTGTTTAATTGTTTCTGCTTAATTTGGAAATTCAAGTATATGATGCAGTTGACTTTCACAGTAAGAAAATGGCCATTTTCTCAAAATTTACCTTCATTAATAATAAATGGTGAGCTTCTCAGACAGAGGATGCAAACATGTGAAAAGCTCTGCTCCTGTTTCCTCTTCTTTATTTCTCACAATGAAATCAGAGGCACTTCCTTAAATGCAAAGGTATATAGTCCAAATCTACTCTTCTAAAATCAATTTTACACAGTTTAGACTGTAAACTGATAGTTGATTCTAGAAGCTTTTCTTATATAAAAGTTATGACTACAGAACTGGTATTGTGAAAAATATTTTCTTGTAGCCATAGAAGTAGCAATAGACAAGTGGCCTCATAAAAATTTAATATTGAAGTAATTGCATTTTGAATGTACTAGAGTAAAATTATTATCATAAGAAGATATTTTATACTAAAATTACAAAAATTGGACTAAAATTAAAATAGAGTCCCTAAGTGAGACATCTTGAGAATCCATTAGGAGCAAAAGAACAGATTGAATAAGGACCCTTTATCACTCAGGGAAATTATCTCTCTATTGTACAGAGAGGGATTTAAATATACACTCTAGAGTTCAGAGGCACCAGTAGTTACAATGATTATTTATCCAACATTGACTATCCCTATTATTGATGATAATAAATTTCATTTCTCCTAAGAAATACATTGACCTAAGCCAATTGTGGTGAATATATCCTATTCTACAGGAACTTTTCCCTCAATAGTTTTTCTAGTTAGTTCAGAGTGACTATTTTACCCAGTTCTAACCAAGGAGAAACACAGAGACACTTTTTTTTAATTATCCTTTTCTTGTGGCTTGGGATACTGACTTTTGAATACAGTTATGGAACGACAGCATCCATCTTGGTCAGTGAGGTAACATACGTAAGTACAAAAAGACTGAAGACAACATTTACCAGCAAATGGATGGAACTGGAGACTATTATGCTAAGTGAAATAAATCAGTCTCAAAAATCAAAGGCTGAATGTTCTCTCTGATATGTGGACGCTAACACACATGGAGGCAGAGTGGGGTTGGGGGAGGGGGATAGATGTTCATTGGGTGAGGCTGATGGGAATGAAGGAAAGGGAGGGGGATTGGAATAGGAAAGACAATAGAATGAGTTGGACATAACTTTCCTATGTTCATATATGAATACACAACAAATACAACTCCACATTATGTCTAACCACAAGAATGGGTAGTTATAATCCATGTAGGTATAATATCAAAATACACTTTACTGTCATGAATGGTTACAAGGAATGAATTTTTTTAAAAAACATGAAGACAAAAATACAAAAAGATGTGAATGAAAAATATGGGTGTTTGATAATACAATAGAATTACCTATTTCAGGATTCCTTGTAAACAAGAGACATGGTTGTTTTCCATACGCTGTTACCTGGACCTGATTGCATCCTATCTAATAGAGGATAGTTCACAAGTAACATGAGAGACATTCACTCAAACTCATCCGTGCATCTAAGAAGTATACAATGAGACCAGCAGCACAGGTTTAAGAAAGTCTCCTGGGTATAAGATGGAGTTAACTATGTACAAACTACAGGAAGACAGACAAGGAGTATTTCTTCATAAAACATTAGGGGAAAAGGAAATAGACTCTAGGGGGAAAAAAAAGATTCCTAGAACATATAAAGGGGAGGAAGAATATTGTAATAAAGACTCAACATATATGATCTAAGGAAACAATTTAAGTATGTTCGTCTTCCCCAAATAATATTTAATTATAAAAATAAAATTTCATTATTATATTTTGTTAAAAAATTCCAATTGGAAGAATAAACCTGCTATGTGCAGTAACCAAGCAAATTTTTTAAGAATAAAAATTTGACTTTATATGACATCAAGATTATTTATAAATTAATAATAATAAAAATGCTACAGTATTTGCATAGAATAGTTAGGTGTATCAAAGAGAATTAAAAGTATTAAAATGTAACCCAAGAAATCTGAATAAAGTCATAGTTTGATTAATCATATTGTACCAGTGTTTCTGTCAAACAATCCCTTGATTATATAAAATGCTAACACTAAGGAAAACTATTACAATTTCCCCATAAACTTAAATTTATTATTCTAAATTGAAAAGTTTCTGATAAAACCTTATTATATGATAAAAATTATACTTCAATCATTTAATTCCCTAACTCACAGTTTATAATAGATTAAATAGATTAGATATTTATCAATATAAAATGAAATCAAAGAAATTATAATAGTAAGTATGGATTAATGTCATATGAGAAACAGAATTTGAAAACACTATAAAGAGAAAGAAAATATAAATGGATAAATGAGTTTTTTATATGAGAATAATTAGTGATCACATTAGCAAATAATTCTCTCAAATTAAGAAGGAACTCCACATGGGAAAAAATAGGGTAGGAATGTAAACATTAATTGTTCAAGGTAAAAATATAAGTACTTAAGTTTATACACAAAAATGTAACAATTACCAATATATCATTGAAATGCAAATACAGTAGTTAAAATGATTTTTTAAGCTATGGTATTAGTAAGATTAAAAAGTAAATTAGAATATAATCTGGCAGTTTGCATAAAATGTCCTAAATAGTACATTCAGTTCACACCATGTAACCATTTCATTTCTGAGAATGTTTTTTTATCCAAAGGAATTGACTGAAAAAGTAATTGAATGCACACATACATGCATATATCCATACAGACACATGTATATGTGTATAGACACAAATATTGCTCCATGTTTTAATAATTTTGATGACAGATTAGCTGTGTTATCATATCATTTATTCTGACAAATGTGTATAAACAACATACATGACTAGTGATAAAAAGTTGTTTAAAAAAAACATTCTCCGTTTATGGAACTTAAAATCTCTTAGTAGTAGTTAAATAATAACAAGTAATACCTATATGCTAGGTACTATTATTTTCAGGAGATTGAAGCTTAAAAACAATAAGTTGGTTGCAGAGTGATGTATGGCTAGTGAATAGGAAGGTTAGAGTAGAATATAGGTGGTTAGAACAATGTAGATCAAAAACAGGTGCTTACTATTCCTTTCCTTTATTTCTAAAAGTCCTATGTAAAAGAAAGTTTCACGTAACAGGAAAGCAGAGAGGAGTCTAAGTGTATTTGGGGGCAGCATGATTTTTATAAGATTCCTGAGACCTAAGAACCCTGAAAAGTTAAGAGCTGCTAGTCTAAATTGAGTTTCATTTTCATTTGTCAGATGATCACCATGGACTCCAGCCAACACCCTGGCCTTCTTCTATTCTATTCACCCTACTGGGCTGTCTGGCATGTCCACCCTAAAAAAAGTCCCAGATCTTCCTTTAATTTGCATACAAAATATAAGATGCCAAAGAAAGGAAATAATACCCAGTACCTGTAAGTAGATAAGCAGATGAGAAAGGAGACAGAGAGATGGTGGATTGGAGTTTTGTTTGTGTTTTATTTCAGAGGTAAAAATTTAAAATTGACACAGAGAAATTAAATTTTTTTAAGTATCCATCTTATAACTTATAGTGATTTCTCTTACAAACCATCCTATAACCTAATGACTTTTCTGGGTTCTAAATACACAGAGAGGGAACTAAATTAGAAGTTAACAAAAGTGAATGTCTTGCTATATAACAAATATAACAAACAAGACCTGATAGAGGTAACTGATTCAGACATTCTCATTTTTATAAAAGTGATGTCTTTCCCCTGCTTTCTTAGGTTAAAACCATACTCTCTGTTTTAGCTGGCATTAAACTGAAGATGAACTACAAAAGAAGTTCTGTTCTTTCCATGAAAGGCTATTGATTAAGGGAGAAATTAAATATGTAAGGAGGCATGGGGGGAAATTAGCAGGAGAGGGAGATGTCACTGCAACATTTATGCAAATGTATTTCTATTAAGCAATATGGTTAAGGTCATTTTGTTATAACCTGAAGATTGTTAATTCTAAATACATATTACATTTTAATCAACTACCTAACTTCCCACTCTTTACTGAGAAATTTACATTCTGACTACATTTTGAGGGCAGTTAGGATCCAGCTAAGCTCTCGAATATAATAACTATCAGGAAATTGTCCTGAATTATTCATGTTAATTATGCTGAACCAAACACTGTAGATAGGAAAATGTATTTCCTACTGAAATATGTTTGCCTTAGAGAGATTTCTAAACTGATCGTAGTCCCTTGTTTCATGATTAGACCAATGGGCCCTGAGAATGGTCAGGAATGCATGTAATGAATTAAATTTCAACCAGCATTATGCTTTTTCAGCACAAATGGCATCATCTGAATCAATTATGCATTTTCCCTGCGTTTCATAAATAATCACAACTAAACCCCCAGTCCAAACTAATTATCAATCATTGTAGCACACATATACTTGGATTATCTAAAAGAAAAACATTTTTTGGGTGCATTCTATTTTCGTACCTACTTTCTGTCCAATAGAATAAACACATAGCACTTAAAACACATACCATCCATTCTCTTATATTTGTTCATTCAGGAAATCATAAGTTCATTCAGTTGGTCAGGAAGCAAATACTGTCTGTCAGTTACCATGTTATGTTCCCACCACCCCACTTCTGATTACTTTGGTTGGTTTGCTTTTTGATGTTGTCTAAAGGATTTCAGGGACTGAGAATCATGCTAGTCATTCTCATTTAATAAATCACTATCATTATGTTATCAATTCTTTCCATTCATTCTGCAGTTGCAATCCCAATTTCTAACTTTATTAATTTCCTTTCTCTTTGATTATATACATGCTTTTCCTTCTCCTGCTCTCCTTCTCCTCCTCCTCCTTTTTCCTTTTTTTTTTTTTTGGTGTTCAGGATTGAACCCAAGGACACTTTACCACAGAACTTTATTTCAACCATTTTTATATTTTTATTTCAAGATAGGATCTCACTATGTTGCTTAGGGACTGGCTATACTGCTGAGGTTGGCCTCAAACTTGCCATCCTTCTCCCTGGGAATCCTGAGTTGCTGGGATTATAGGTAGGTGCCACCATGCCCTGGCATATTTTCAATCAGAGAAATCAAATCAATTTAGGATTATTTTAGGTTTACATATGCTTTAATGTGGAAATTGCTATTGTGCTTTATATCTCATGTTGTCTAATTTTTCACTCTGATAATGTGTAATGTGGATTTTTATAGTGCTTCTGGCAGCTGTGTGATATTTAAGGACAAGCACATTCCACATTCCAAGACTGACTTCAACTCTGCTAGAACAAACAAATCCTTGATGGACAGTTCTGCAAATGTTCAGTGTAAGAGTTTCTTTGGCTTACACATACAGGATAAAATTGAAAACCCTATACTTCATTGTCTAGGAAGTGACAGATTCCTTAATAAAATGATCAGGCTCATTAACATCCTACTAGTCTTGCAAAGAGAATTTCCTGTTCTCTGCTACTTCTCCAGCAGTTGACAACACACTTTTCTTCCAACTTGAATTTGAAGCAGTATTTTGGGATTGATTTGATTTGATTTCTCTGATTAATAATGAGAAAGAACATTTAATTGTTCAGATATACAGAAAACATGAAATCATTTTATAATCAACCCTGGTACACCTGCCACCCAGATTTTATCTTTATGATTTTCTACACCTGTCTTATCCTACCCGTATCTCCATCCTTTATTTTTTATTTATTTTTTTTTAATTTTTTTTTATTGGTTGTTCACAACATTACAAAGCTCTTGACATATCATACTTCGAACAATAGTTTCAAGTGAGTTATGAACTCCCATTTTTATTGGGTAATATTTATATATACATGTAAATATACAAGGAAAGAAAATGTGAATCTCAGGTTTTATTTTTAATCAGTCTGAGATTCAGGTATAAAGGTCAGCACAAGTCATTACAAATATATAAGAACATATAAAATATTTTACCCACAACTACTTCATGAGAGACTAGAATAATTTTCCTTTCCTCATTTCCTCATGCAACTTGGGACATGAGAACACAGGGATTATCTTTAAATTACAGAGATTAACTTGAAGAGAAATGATCACTACATTTCACCATCTATAAAAAATTAACTGACCAAAAGTGGCTATTCTCAAAATTTAGTAAAATTTGTTAAAGACTTCTTGATCCTACCCCAGAGATTCTGATTGACAGGTGTGGGGTGAAACCCATGAAATTCCATTTCGAGGGAACTCCTAGATGACCATGATGTTGCTGGGCCACAGAATGCATATAGAATACTACTGGTTTACACACTAGTATAAATCATAGAAGTGACCACTGGACACATGCTTTCCAATTGGAATACACTATTCCTCCTGTGTATGAAGCCGGAATGGGAAGAAGCCCCTATATATTACTGATTCTGCTAGAAATGGAGAATCTAGGGAAACATACCAACCAATGCTGTGGAAATAAAATCAGCGAAGTCCAAAGAATGGGAAATTGTAGGAGTTAGGAATCATTTTTTTTTTCTCCAGCAAAATAGCTGCAAAATAGTAAAGGAGATGAGGAAGGAAATTGTCATTAAAAAACACTAAAATTTCATATCAACTTATCACAATGCATAACTTTATTTAGATCCTAATTAAAATCAAATGTTAAGAAAAATGTGTAACACAAGTGAGAAAATTTGAACATTGATTACATGAGATGGTATTAAGAATTCAATGTTATTTTAAAAGTATAATATAGATTCATTATAATACTAAAACTAAGATCTCTCAACTATTCCAGATACATTTTCAGATATACATGTATGAAATTATATATTGTCTATGAACTTCTTTGAAATAATCTTGTTGGGGTGGTGTGAAATCAATTAAAGTAAGCTATGAATTGATAAAAAAAAGAACATTTAATTGATTTTAATGCTCTGATATTTTTTTAAGATGAATTATATTTGTGATTTCAATTCTATTAGACTTTTTTAATAGTTTGGTTTGATTTCATTGTTGAGTTTCCCAAGATTCTTGCTTATTTATATATAATGCAATTATCTAATCAGTCTATCAGCAGCTTGTTTAATCGTTTTCAGAGAATTAACAACTGGAGAGGGAATGGTCTGGCAATGTAGAGTTGAGGAGGACACATGAATCTACTTTCAAAACAGACTTCAAAGCAATCTTGCTGTCACTAATCTCACTTTTGCCACCATTTCCAAAGGTATCTGGTCTTTCCGAGTTATGACCCCTGGGAGGTTGATCCCACCGAAGGGATCATAACTGTATTGCTCAACAGCTTTTCCTACTCAAGATTGCTATTCAGCCTTCTCAGGCCTCCTGTCATGCCACTGTGTTAGTTTTCTAGCTTCTGAACATTCTGCTGCTAGCTTATCTTCTTTCTTTTCTTCTTGCCCTTTTCAAAATCCCTTATTTAATGGATGTAAGAGGAGAGTAGACTTAAATGGATATATGCAAGCAGCCATTTTTATCTAGAACTCCCATTCTGTTTTACTGTTTTTAAAAATTTGTGTCTCCTGCCTGACTTTCTTCCTACTTTATCATCTGTTGATAGTTTTACTTCTACCAGAATATGCTGAAGAATCTAGCTCCATGATAAAATCTTTCCCACAAAAATATAAGAAACTATGTACTTATCTTTACCTCACCAAATCTCCATATTTCACTATGAAGGCATGATTTTATTAGAACGATGAGGGATGCAAATAATATGATTTTAGAAAATTATATCTCTATGATGATAAAATATACAATGATGAATAAAATAACTATAATAGAAAATAAAATACTGCATAAACTTTGAGAGAAATGGTAAGTTAATCACTTGCCTGTGTATCATTCACCTAAAGTTACTGAGGGACATGTACAAAGAAAATCTTTTAGTTTGATAATCACAAGACCCTTCATTGTGTCAGGCTTGTAGTAGACTCAAAAATATTTTTGCTTACTGAACTTACTGAAATAAAAAATATGCAAAAAATCAAGGCATCTAAAATTATTTGTAATTATTTGAAGAGATTGCAGTTAATTTTACTTTTTCCTGATTTAATCTGGACTTTCTCAATACCAGTGTGCTGATGAAACCTTCAATTTTTCTTTACAGCAAGTTCAAAAACAAACCAACAAAATCTCCCAAGTATAACTTCAGCATTCAAAAAAAAAAAAAGAAGTTTGTTCTGCTAGTCAAGATTCATTACTATACTCTAAGTTACTCATCCTAAGGATTTAAATCCAATTAGATATTACGTATTATCCTAAGTAATTTAATGATTACAAATCTATAATCCTTCAAGACATTTATTTCTAAACAGATAGTAAAGGAATCAGCCTGACAGAGTGACACACATCCAGTTCTGAAATCCCAGCTGTTTCCTCCCTTGCCAATTTATCAACATTTGATCAAATAAGAACAATGCTTCCGCATAGAAAATGTCGACTAATTCATTTCCCATTTTGCCCTATAGAATCCCAACAGCTCGCTAGAACCCCATTATGACCATATCCTTGAGGTTGTCTGACATAAAAGCAAATTACTACCACTGTAGGAAGGAACCTGAACATAAGTACTGCCAGATTTATAGTTCTGCTGCAAACCCTGTCATTTTGATCTAGTTGGAATTTCTGTCACTAAAACAGATTGATGTCTGGAGAAATCTTAACCCAATGAACACAGGAATACCAATTAAAATGTCAAATCCTTACTTCTAATCTCAAAAGGTCTAGTTTCTGCATGTTATCTGATAAGTGTTTTAGATATAACAGTTCCCTTGTATTCCTACCTCTAAAATAAAATTTTCCTTTTTTAGGCAGTGATTATCCAGGCCACTAAGAGACCTAAGTTTTCAGAGGTGATTTTTATAATTAAGTATTTAATGATGTTTCTCAAAAACTGATGCCTCAGTGAAAGAAAATCAAGAAATAGGTTTATTTATTTATTTATTTATTTATTTTAAAGAAAGGAACACTTCAACAGAAGTTCAGAAAAAGGCTGGGAAGGTAGGGGTGTTACTGAGATATTTGAATATGGAGGATGTACCCTCTTATATTCAAAGATATGTAGAAATTTTCCTCCACTGAGGCCACTGAGGCTCAGATTACTATCATCATTTCCAACAGGAAAAGGAGGTAATTTGAAGCATCCTCTAAACTGGTAATCCAGAAAATAAAGCTTAGAGCTTTCTCAAGTGGTAAAAATATTCCAAGTGATAATATATATTTGAGAAATATTATATATTTGAGAAACTTTCTGAATTTATCACTTAGATATGAAAAGAAAGAATGGTGATAAGATTTTAACTAGGGCCAGGCATGGAGGCACATACCTATAATTCCAGCAGCTCAGGAGGCTGAAACAGGAGGATCTCAAGTTCAAAGCCAGCCTCAGCAACTCAGCAAGGCCCTAAGCAATTCACTGAGACCCTGTCTCTAAATAAAATACAAAAAAGGGCTGGTGATGTGGCACAGTGATTAAGAATGCCTGGGTTCCATCCCTGGAACCAAAAGAAAAAAATTTAACTAGATTACTAAGCCTATGTGGACAATAAAGTGCAATGGAGTGCCAGATCTAGGAGTTGTTGGGGTAGATGAACTGTTGAAAGCTTACAAATCACATTGTGATTATTCTTAAAAAGAGTCAGCTCTGATGACCAATGCCACTGGTCCCAGCAGCTCAGTGTAACAACTGACCATGAGGCCCTATTATCATTGATCTTTCCCAAGAGTTGATGAACAGAAACAGTCTGACCAGGCAGATTGGTGTCTAACAAAGCTTGATTACTGGAGACCTTCAGGCCAGGTAACTTCGGGTTTATTCATTAATACATTATCATCATTAATCATGGAAAATGGCAGCATGAGTCTAAGCAGGTGAGTTAGGAGACCTGAAAAATGTTCTCAAAGGGACAGTCAGAAGCCTGGGGCAGGTGATTTCAAGTAGGAGAATAATGTGTTGCCAGGAGGCCAGGCTTCACACATTTGTCACCACAGAGAAGAGTTTCTACAAGAACAGGCCAACCCCCTTAAGCACCAGCTTCTTTCTTTTTAGTTGAAGTCGAAAGATTTAAAAAAATGATAGTTGTCTGAATATGTTATTAATGAATCCACTCACTTATCCAATTGCCATAACACAAACATGTATTAAACAACTACAATTCATCAAGCACTGAGCTTGGTACTAAGTACATAATACTAAAACAAATGATCCACCCTGAAATAACACCATTTTGTTGAGGACATTGATACAAGTATAAAAAATAATACTTTCTCTTTTAATTTATGAATTTAGTTTATTAATATTAAATATTAAATTAGGGATACATCTACAAATGAATAATCTGAAAATTTAAAAAATTAAAAATTAGGAAAGCTGTCCAATGCATATGGTGACGGTAAATAGATTATAAATTGATTCTGAGGAAACACATGGAGTCAATGTACATGCAAATTTGGTGCACTGTTGAGCATACTTTTTTCCTTCACTTTTAATGCATCGAAGGTTTACATATTCACTTTAGCTCTTGTAAATATTTTGTGTGACAAGTAATAATAGAACACATTTACATTCATTCTATTTTATTCCACCCATCCCATTCCATTTTTTTATTCTATTTTATTCAATTTCATTTTGCTAAATTCTGCTGAAGACACACTAAGTCAATTTAATGACCTAATAATGTGTCAGAATCTCCACTGCACTAGAACTCATTGTCTGCATCTTCTATTTTATAACACATCACTCTCCTGTTAAAGGGTCATTTCCTTTGCAGGTCTGCAAAATATGACTTTTTTTCCAAAGGAAATATACAAAAATATTGGAGAGGACTGGAATCTGAGGGATGCTTGGGTTCCTCATTAAGAGCTTTTCCTAATATAATACCCATGGTAAAATAAGATTTCCTAAGTATCGTGGGAAGACATTATACTGGAGAGAATGGATGAATTTTATCAACTATCAAATATAAGTACATTATTGTAAATAATGTCAGGTCACTATGAGGATTTATTTAACAATAATACGGCTCTGAGCAGGTGCTATGCATTTCTAATATATATAATCACTGAACACATGAGCATCTATACTGTAGCATAGCAATGTTTCCAATGTCATATGTGTGTGTGGGTGTACATATGTATATAGCAATTGCTAAAATGATTCAATCATATTTTCTCTTTTCTATAACTGTAAATCAGATAGATAATGAACATCTCCTTTGGATATTTCAAAGTTATCCTCACCCCCTTAGTTCTCAAAATAAAGCTCTTACATTTGTCTTGTCTCTAGTTCAGTTCCTTAATCTCTCAGAAAAGAGATCTGTCATCTACCTAGTTGAAACTAAAACAAATCTAAGTGTTATCTTTCTCACCTCTTTTACCCTTACTTCTCTTACCCAATTCATCACAAATTTCTCTCATTTAATATTCAAAGTTACCCACTTTTGTTCATCTCCCCCTTACCACTTTGACCCAAGTTAATGCTAATGATAGTTCTTATGCCTGGAATGCTTTTTTTTTTCTTTTCTTTTCTTTAAT